CTTATCCTTTGGAACCTTTGATGCAAAGTGTACTTTCTAATTCTTAAAATCTCTCTAAAGATTCATATTTTACTCTTAAAATTAAATGCAAGTTCTGTATGATATCACATAAGGGTGATTGTTTAAATCTATACATAATTCTCACGTATCTAAACTGCAGGGAGGAAGATACATTGTTCTTAAAAACAAGGCCTGCCTCCAACAGCATTAATGAGTAATATTGATGGCCCTATAAGCTAAGGAAAAGTTTACACTTCATCACACACAGTAAAACTTCCTTAAAATCCATTCAAAAACCAGGTGTAGTGGTGCATGCCTGTAATCCCAGTAGCTTTGGAGGCTGAGGAGGGAGGATCACAAGTTCAAAGCCAGCCTCGGCAACTTAGGCCCTAAGCAACTTATTGAGACTCAGTCTCAAATTTTTAAAGCATAAAAATAAAAAGGGCTGGAGGTGTGACTCAGTGGTTAAGCAACCCCTGGGTTCAATCTCCAGTACCAAAAAGAGACCAAAATCCTCTACTCTTTTCTCAATCTATTGTTTAGATTTTGCAGCCAAACTAACTTCAAGTCAAAATAAAATCTCATGACAGGTTTTTCTGGTCCCTACATCCAGATGGACACAGACTTCTTGGAGAATGAATGATTTCTGTATTGTCCTTTTGTCACTTTATAGTGAGGGAAATGGTCAAATAAGGTGATTAGACACCTGGGATCTAGTGTTATAAATTTTCGGAAGACTTAGGGGAACACTGTGGCCCTCAGATATGTGCTTTGCAGCCTTGCCTCCTAGTAGCTCAACCCTTGAATTGGATTAGAATATTACCATGATTACTATATTTATAATATTACAAGGGATTTATAATGTGTCATTTGGAGCTGAAATTCCTCATGATTATTTTAGCCTAGAAGCAATAATAATACTTAATCAAACAAAAGTTTCTGTTTTTCTCATGCTACTTAGCAATGTGTAGTTAAATTACGTGATTCTTGTATGATAGATAAATTTTATTATGTCCAATTTAGTAAAAATCCAGGGAGACTGAAAGCTTAATAATAAATACATTCTGCAAATCATTGGGACTGATTGCTCATGAAATCATAATGTTGCCACTCTACAGTGGCTTCCTCTGAGTAGGTAGTTAAAAATTGCTTTAAACTAATCAATTTTCAGAGATTTGTCTGAGAGCAAAAAAATTAGGAAAATAACTTTAAAAGGGTCACTTCAGACAGGATGTACAGCATCCTGAATTTTTTATAACAGCTTTTTAAAAAACCCTTCCAAAATGAAATGAGTAGTTTTACTTCTACAGAATTCACAGTTGGCTTTTAGATGTCTTAGAGGCTGAGCCACCAACATTGAGGATTTAGATACTCTCATTTATTCTTTGTCACATGGTTAGAAACATCAGACCTACTGAAATTCTTTTTACTTGGACCAAATATCTATTTTCTTAATTCAAAGTACCCAGAGCTATGTCCTAATATTTGAGTTGAACAATCTTATCACAAATTCTCACGAAAAAATACTCTGCTGAATTATCATACAGGTGTGGAACTACTAGACATATGAGATCTACATAATACAAAGAGAAAATGATTACCAGTGAAATATGGCCTCATTCAGAAACTCATCCTATTCATATTAAAAATCCCTGAAAGTGGGAGCTAAAATTAGTTGCTTTTCAATAGCTGTATCTATTTTAAAAAGAATTTTTGTATTTCCAATTAGGTGTTCAGAAACTTTTCAAAAAAGGGCCTCTAAGAATTTAAGCTTTTATTCATTGAGCTGGTAGAGGTGTGGGAGGGAAAGGTGAATAAAATTCTATGAAATGAAAATTAGCAAAGACATTTGCTTGAAAGTAAAAGCAGACACAATATTCTCAATAAGGAATATCTGAGTGAATCATCTAGGGATGGCCACAAGGAAACCTAGTTACACTTAACATATAAAGACTAACAATTTTGCAGGCTAAGCTGGAAAAGTAGCAAAACATGATGATGCTTAGCAAGGGAAATTCAACTTAAGAGTAAATGAATGTTAGAAAGAGAACGTTTAAAGGTACTAATTATATTCTAACAAGCAATATTAGAAAACTAAAAAAAAACACTGTTTTTCATTAGATGATAAAGAATAGTAGATAATCATTACAAAAGGAACAAAACAATTTCAAAATTTAAATTACTATGCTAGATATTGGTTCTCTAGTTTTTGAGATGTCTCCTTCCATCAATTGTTTTGTTGAGATTAAGTTTGTTTCTTCATGTTTTAAATACTTTATATTTTTAGACCAGTTTGGGGTTCACAGCAAAACTGAGCAGAAGATAGAGGGATTTCTCTGCCCTATACAAATACACACAACCCACTCACTACCAATTATTGAACACCAGAGTCCTATATTTGTTTACAAAGGAATCTACATCAACATCTCATTAGCATCCAAAAGGGTTCACTTTTGGCTTTGCATATTTTGTAGGCTTAGACAAATGTATGACATATATTCACCATTCTAGTATCCATTCATAGTAGTCTTACTGCCCTATAGTTTCTTTGTATCCCACGATTCAATAAATGCCAGTGAGAATGAGGAGCAACTGGAACTCTCACACATTGTTGGTCCATTGCTACTTTGGATTTCAGCATATATTGAAGCCATGTGTACAACCTACAAAAATTTAGTCTGTCCACAGTAAGTCTAGTTTCACATCTGCTACTCAGAGACCCCTACTGGTGAAATAGTTTTATCTTTAATGAAAACTGCATTGTGTTAAACTCAACATATTCCAAACCAAGTTTATCATCTAATCTCCAAAAGTTTTAATTCATTTTTATTTCTTTATATCTGGGAACAACACAACATCTCTTTTGGTTGGTCTGTATAAAAAACTGTGTATTTTTTTTAACTCTTCCATCACCGTTTCACCACTTTCAATAGGCATCAAAAATTGGTTCCTTTTTCAAATGCAGTGTTCCTTTCTGTTTCTACTCCCAGAACTACTGTGTCCTCGTCACTTGATATGTGAGATACTGTCAATACGTAGACAGCTTATCTCCTATTTCCTATTCTGGCCCTTTCTACATATAAATTATAAGTCAGTTTCTCCAAATCATAAAATTTATAAACTCAATTCTTTTCAAGAATCTCCATTTTGTATTTTGTAAACCCTGGACATATTAACATTTTTATGTGTCATTGTCTTATAAATTCCTAGAATTGAGATTTATACTTGCTACATGATGATAACAGAGGATGTCAATGAAGGAAGTCCAATGAGTTAGACCCCCAAATGTCAAAATTTGCAATAATTAAATATTGTAAAATAAACATTGTCCTCAAACTCATATTTTAAAATTATTAAAGAAGTTAATCTGATTCATCTATTACTATTTTATATCAATCATATTACATACTCTGACATTTGATATTCAAATATTTTAGTAAATTATAGAAAATGGAAAATAGGATTCTAAGTAATTATAAACTTATTTAATAAAATTCATTGTTTCCTTTTTGGATTATAACTTTGCAACATTTAAAATGTAATTTACAAAATAACAAGTTAGTGTCAAGATTTCATTTTAAGTAAATATTACATTTTGAAATGCTTAATATTTTCTTCATTAATTTTTACAAATCAGGATGCACATAACTTGAGGTTACTAAAAAATGCTCCCAGAATTAAGGAAAACTGTTGACAAGAGAGGCCTCAGAACTACATTCTAGATTCTCCCAAAGGATAACTACAAGCATTAGGATGAGAGAATGGTGTTAATTTGAGAAATAATTCTGAGAAAATTTTTCTCCTCATTGTTTCCTATAGGAAGTCATTGTTTGTAATGTCACAAAGCAATATGACTAAAAATCAGACATTTTGCAAAGTTTAAAAATCTGTAGATTTTTAAAACAACCTAGATTTTTAGCTACCTTGTTTCAGCAGGAATTTGTCTTGTTGAAACATCTGATCTTCAAGGTTAATTGAAAAATTAAGCTTTTTTTTCATATAAAGAAACCATAAAATTATACAACCACCATGATATATGCACAAAAGAAATGTTCTCTCCTTTTTCTAGAAGAGTCTACCTCATAGTTCAGTCTAGTCAAGTTGACACATAAGAAAGCCACCAGTGCTGACAAAAATATTTTATAATCTACAGTTTAGTCAGTCTAAGTGGTCAGTGACTTCACCTAGATATCCTTTCTGGAAACTTGGTAGAGCAGGTTTCTAATTTTAACTGTCACAATATAACTGGAGATAAGTGGAAGAACCTGAATGCCTAATGTGAATCCTGTTGTCATCTAGGATAGAAACCTGTGGAGTTTCAGAGGTCTTTCTAGTGGACTAAAGGTTCCCTAAGTAGGTGGTCTAAAGGAGGGAAAACTGATATTTGTGGCAGACTTCTGCTTGCTTGCAACATCTATTCTTCCATTGTTCTGTAGTGGTATGGCTCCCATTTTTTTTTTTTTTAAACCCGAGCCGGTGACCACTCAGAGTAAAAGCTACTGCGTTATAGTTAGTTGTGGCCACTATATTAAGTGCTGTCCAATGAGATATAAATAGTTACAGGTAGTGCAGGCTATTTCTGGAAAGTTGCCTCTACTTGGACTAAACAGCAAAAGGCTTCATGGAGGAGGTAAGGAAATTACTTATGACCTTTATGTAAGTCAGCGTCAAGGCCAAATTTTCATATGGAGGCATGATCATTATGTCTTACTGTGACGTCTTTGTGTAAGTACACTCGTCTCCTATGCTGGACAGGGTCTAGAGCAGCCTTTGGCACAGAGTAATCATATAGTAGCGCATTACCGCAGCAAACATACAATATGATAGTAAAGGTTAATGGGGGTAAGTGAAGGATTGAGTGGACGAATGAGCGCTCCTCTGGGGTGGTGGACTTTGTCTTGCTCATCTTGCAGTCTTGGCTTGGCTATATATACCCTGTGCACCGCTGGCGGGGCGCTGGTATTCCACTAGTAAGGGTGGGAATCCTGGTCCAAGGCCCAGAGTGGGAGTGACCACTCCCGAGCGGTAGGGGGCGCCGTCGTGCGGCCGGGTCGGGCCGGGTGGCTACCACAGCCCTGCACAGAACAGCACAGTCGCCTACGCCATGCGCGCGTTGCTGCAGCTGCTGCGCACCGGTCGCGGGTGGCGCGTGGGGGGCCCTGCCGCCGCCCGCCTGCCTCAAGCAGCGAGCGCGGGGAGCGGGCCGCGCCGCGCCATGGCCCTGTACCGCACGGAGGAACGCGGCCAGCTCCACTCGCAGGATTACCGCATCTTCTTCAGTAAGTAGCTCAAAGAGATCCGCGGCGGGGCGCGCCGGAGGAATGTGGCTGAGTGGTGGAACAAGGGGGACCTGCTCCGCCCGCGCGGCCTGCCTCGCTCTTTGAGGCCTTCCGCGGTCGCCGCGCAGTCCAGGCCATCTTCTTGCACTCGAGGGCCTCTGACCAAGACCTCAAACGCGGATTGTGGAGACTTAGGACGACAGGCATCCCCGGCGCCGAGTCACTCTCGGCCCAGCTAACCGCCCTCTCGGACCGCATCCGAGCGCGCGGCCACCCCTGCGGCCCGCAGCCTTTCGCGGAACCCGGGCGGCAGTCTGGGTTCACACCGCCTAGTTGTGGAAGGAGGCCGAGTCCGCCAGCGCCCTCCCTTCCGATGGCGTAAGAAAGCCCCTCCTTTCGCGCAGTGGAGAGGCAGGCTGAACTCTGGAGATACAGGGAGCTTCTCAAACACGTTTGTGCTCACAAGTTTGCACCCTGAGTGCTATCCACAAGCAAGAGGCTCGCGGGCCTTCTGGTAGGGAGATGGTCCTGCTTCCTCTGCACATTGCACTAGCTAGAGGGTCAAGCGACATGTCGGGCACTGAGCTGGCCAACTAAGACTTTCGGAAAAGGACCCAGGTCTCCGTGACTGTCATTTATTTTTCTATGCACCCCAGGCTCCCCTTTGTACTTTAGCAGCACCCGGAAAGTAGCAACGTTGATTGATTTGTTTTCACACTCCATTGACTTCAGAGCCCCGAGGGGAGCTGTAAAATCCACCTGGTACCGTTGCTCACCTATTAGTAATCGAGGTCCTGGAGTAAACCGTGAAGGGCTTCTTCACTGTTGAGCTCTATAACCCTGATCCCGGGCGAATTTCTTACTTTGCCAAACCTTGGTATTTTTACCCCCCTCCTCTTCTGGAAAACAGGGCTGCAAACATCATATGACATATTGTGTATGTAAAGTGATTAGTTGCAGGGCCTAATATGAATTATTTAACAATAATAATATCTGTAAGCATTTTTGATATCTGCTATTTTTAAAAGGTTTATAGTTTTCCTGCCTGAGATTACCGTCTAGGGTTATTTTATGGAAGAGATAACAGAGCTTGCCTAAACCCTTGTGAGGCAGCTGGTACTAAAATTTGTTTTCTTCAAAATTGGTTGTTCTTTTCCTTTATGCTACAAGCTTTTTTCTCCATCCTCGTTTGGTCAACATTGATCAGGTCGTGTTAAAGAAAAATGCTGAACCAATGTTGTGCGCACCTGTAATCCCAGCGATTTGAGAGACTGAGGCAGGAGCATTCAAAGTTCAAAGCCAGCTTCAGCAAATTAGCAAGGCCCTAAGCAATTTAGGAATCCCTCTCTCAAAAAGTAAAATGGGCTAGGGATGGGGCTCAGTAGTACCCCACCCTAAAAAAATTTACAATGTAATTTTTACTGGAACTAGTTTTCCATAGAAACAATGCTGTACAATGGCATTTAGCTTTTTAAGCAGATAAAAGCTTGTCTCCTACTGCATAATACATGGAAGTATCCTAGATCTGCAATAAGTGTAGTAATTAACAGGCAAAGTAGTTAATATCTATGAAGGGTACTAGATTTGGTAGGCATGGCACAGAGGAGGTTTCATCCTGGTCCCTGCCCTCAAGAGATTCATAATATTAATGTAACTCATAAATGAGAATATAAAAACACTAAATATGTTTTACTTGAATCTTGATTGAAGAGAGGCAGGGAAAAAAGTTCAGAGAAGTCTGGAGCTCACAGTGTAGTTGAACAAGCACTGGATTTGGACTGGAGAGTTCTAAGCTTTAATTTTCCTTCTGCCTTTAACTTGCTGTGTACTGTTAGGCCAGTGTTTGCTACATTCCTTTTTCATAGGGACAGTTTCCTCAACTGTAAAAGGAAGTAATTTGCCTTGAAGTGATCCTCACCAAGGCCTTCTTGGCACTGGTATTCCTCGAAGGCCCTGGATGAATGATAGAGATCCTAATGGTCTCTGTTGTTGCAAGACCTCTGACCCCTTATTTTGGAGTCTGTTGGCCTGTTTTTGTGGTTTCTTTAGCTGCAAATGTACTTCAAATCCTTGATTTTTCTGTGACTTACATAAGTAAGAATTACTTGTATCTTTCTTTTCACTCAGTTGAGAAAATGGCAGGTAGAAAAAAGAGGTCTTACTGAGGTATATGAGCAACAATTGGAATAAAGGGGAGTATGGTTTTGGGGAAAGTCCAAATGGTAAGATTCTAATTGGAGAAGGTATGTTGGATTAAATAATTCCTGAGCTAACCACCAGATGGCAGCCGTGGCAAAGAACTGTTTACTACTGACTGGAAAGAGTAGGACAAAATGATAGGAAGATGCTTGGGGGTAAGTGGGTTCACAGGAAAACAATGGACAAATTGCTTGTTTGTAAAGAGGGTCACAATAACTAGGTGGATGGGTTTGAAGGATCCCAACACATAGAAGTGATAATGTTTGAGGAGATGGAAATGCTAATTACCCTGAAAGGATTAATACATGAATTGTATACATGAATTGAATTATAACACTCTGCCTCATAAATAAGTACAAATAGTATATGTCAATTTAAAAAAATTTTGGTTTCAAATTGGATACGTAGTACCAGCATCCATACATACTTTCCCAAATAATTCTGTCTCACTTTAAAGAGGAAAAAACAACAGCAAAAACAAAATAAAACATGATATAGCACTACTGGCTCTGTTCCGCATTATTAAAATGGAAGTTTTTCCACAATCCCAGATATATCTCAAATCTCTGAAATACCAGTGTAGTGAGTGATACAACATTTTTGAGCTTCCTCTCTGTAAATGGTTGCTCTTTTGTGCCATTAAGGAGAATATTGATAGATATAATTCTTTTTTAAAAAAAAATTGGTATAACGTTGTGAAAATAGTATCAAAGTAAGACAGGATGATTCAGGGGAAGGAGCATCCTGGAACATCAGGCCTCCTTGGTGACAGCTCTGGCCCTGTTAGTAACCTGCTGCACAGCCTTGTATCACTTCACCATTCTGTACCTCATTTTATTAAATCATAGAATGAAAAGTTTAGACTACATCATTTTCCATTCTGTTCCATAACTTGAACACAAGCATCTCATTATTAGGATTTCTTTTAAACAAAATATTTCATGGTTTAACAAATTAAAACACTCATTGCTTTATTGCCTTCTTCTAGAGTAATATACATGTTAAAGTACTAGGAAATTCTGACATTAATTGTCCCACACTTTTGAACCACAGAATACTTATTTCACAGAACATTGTTAACGTCTTAGTGATATTAGAGTTTCATGGAACTTATTTTGGGAAGTACTGTGTAGGACAGTTTCTACAACTTCTAAAAGCAACTGGGTTGTGATAACAGTTCTAGACCAATGGTCCATTAGATTGTAGCCCTGACTTCACCATCTTGGACAAGTCTTGGCTCAACTAACCACTAGATGGCATCTCATAGCTCAGATGGTGTCCCTTAGCTCAATTTCTCCATCTGTAAAGTGGGTCTAGCACTAATAGTTCTATAGAATTGCTGTGGCAGTTAAATCAGACTGTGTGTAGAGATCAATATCTTACACACAGTAGATATTAAATATATGTTATTTCATTTTCAATGTTAAGACATTAGACAAATCTTATCACTAAATTCCAAGAAGGGTGAAAGGTAATGGAATATGTGTAAAAGTCAATATTTTGAAAATGTTCCTCTTTATTAATTTCTAAGTTTCAGAATTTTAGTGGGTACTGCCCTACAGTTTTTTTGTGTAATCTTTAACTGTAAAACAATAATGAAATTAAATTTGTGTATATGAGATCAAACACCTACCACTGCATGTTAATGTACCTTGATATATTGGATGTTTTTGTTTGTTTTGTTGTGATAATAAACATTTTCGATTTTAAACTTTTCCTACAGGATAGGGAAAAGCTGTGTTTTCCATAATTTGAATTTTTGTTACTATGGGGTAGATAACTGGTTTATTTAGAGAAACAGTGCTGTGGATAGTTGAAGATACTTTTACGTAGACTGAGAATGAATCATGTAGTTCTTCATCAGTTTGCTTTATCATTTATGGTAAGCATAGGCTTGTGTTGAAATTATGGTAAGTTTTCTCTAAGTGCATAATTTGAGTAATAGGTAGAATATGACATTGAATGTGCTGTGTATTTGAACCTAGTAAAGCTTCCTATGAATAAGTTCTTATGACCTTTTAATTTTTAAGTTTGCCCATATAGAACTCAAATTGACACATTAAAAGATAATGGCTATTGTGTGAATATAAAAAAAAATTTGATTTCCTTTTTTTTAATCCTCTTAAAAACAGCTTAGTTTCCTAAATGAAGTGCACTGAAATATAAATCTTGTGATCTATAAACTTCTTTAAATTTCTTGATCTTAACCAGAATATAAAACAAATACAGTGAACACACTGATCTTTTTAAATGTTCAGACTCTGCTCAAAAATCCTAGTGACTTTCTATTTCATGCTAAAATAAATAAATTTGAAATCTTTACTGGTACACAAGATCAAATACTGGTCTACACCTCTGGTTTAACTGCCTGCCACATTTCCCTTTGTCACCTTCCTATCATCCTGGCCTCCTTGCTATTTCTCAGATAGCCTGAGAAGAACTCTCCTCAACACCTGTGCTTTCTGTGCCTTCAGTGCTCTTCCCTCAATGTCTGCTTGACCTACCCCCTCACTCCATCAGGTCTGTGCTGACATGTTACCTATCGGGGAGATCTTTCTTGATCATTCAGTATGAAATATCACCCCTTCCTTTAGTCACTTTTTACTCACCCTGGTTTGTTTTCCTTTAGAATGCTTATCATACTGCTATAGTATATACATATTCATTACTTCTGTTCTCCCACTAGAATGCAAGTTCTATAAGAACAGGGCATTGGAATTTGTATTCCTGGTACATAGAATAGAGCTTGGCATAGAATATGTGTTCAGTAAATATTTACCAAGTGAATTAATTTAAGGAAAACTTACAAGGTAAATAGGAAAAATAGAAAGCAGAAAGAAGAAAATTTGAATTCGAAGTTAATGGGTGTTCTCTGATATTTTTAAAGGCCAAGGCACCCATGAAAAAGGAAAAAGAGGAGATGAAGAAATAGCCAAATTGAGCTCTTGAAAACTAAAATATGATTTTTTTAAAAAAAAATACAACCTCCTCAGCAGAAAGTACAGTGAGCTGAATTGTGTTGTTTCAAACTATAAAATTTGCGATAATTTGTTATAGCAGACTAAGAAACTAATATAGTTGAATCAGAAGAGAAAGTAAATATATGTGTATATATTTTTTATCAGAAAATAGAACAAAATGTCAGAATAGAAAAAGGAGATAAAAGGAAGAGACATGGAAATTCTAGGATGTCTCACATGTGACTAATGTGAGTTTTAAAAGGAAAGAACAGATACAACAATGGAGAGGATATTATCAAAGGGGTAACAGAAGAGAGTTAACAATCGAATGACCCCCAGTCACTTTGTTGTGCAATCTCAGAAAAATGGAGACTGTGAAGAAGATTCAGAAAGTGACTGGAGGGCTGGGCAGTAGGGGGATAGCAGGCCACTTGCAAAGGGATGAAAATCAAACTGTTATCTGACTTATAGCACCAGAGAATGCTTAAAGACTGTGGGAGTAATGCCTTCAAAACTCTGAGAGAACATAATTTCCCTTCTAGAATTCTCTACCCAGCCAGCCATCAGTTTGGGTAAGAACCAAATAAAGATCTTTCACATATTCATGTGCCTCATGTGCAGTTGTTTTTAGAGAACACGTTAGGGAATGGTCCCCCCAAACAAAGAAGTGAACTAAAAGAGATAACTGCTTGGGACCCAGAAAACCAAAGGTCTTGGGATGCCAATAAAACATCAAATCCAGATGACAGCAAGAAAATAGAGGGCTCCAGAGAGGATTCCGGTTTTGATGGTATCTGTGAGGTATTGGAATAATTTGTAGATATGATTGTGACAGATAATTCAAGAAAGGTAATTAGAAGCATAAGGAAAAATAGAAGTTGAACAAGAAAGGAAGCTTAAATTATAACATCCTATTTGTCAAAATCAAACTTGCCTGAGCATAAGTTTTAATGAGTTCTCATCCTTCCTTTGTGTACCAGGGGAAATGACTAAGTGTGCTGGGAGGACTCCTTTATGTTTAAGCTTATTTAAACACCTTTGTAAATGTGCATTACTTAATGGAAGAAACTACTGAGAAAATTAAGCTTTCGAGAAATTAAGTGATTTACAGGAATATTACCCATTAAAGCATTATCCTTACCTGAGATCTAAGGATATATTTATTTTTTTCCAGTAACAATTATTTTATTATTTTTAATTCATTATTATTTATGAATGCTATTTTATGATCCAAGTCACTTCTAATCTATATGGTTATCTAAGTCTATACACTGACAATTTATTCACTTATTTGATAATTAATCACTGACTAATAATGACCATTCAAAAATTAGTAATATTATTTATTTTGTTGTTTTGTTGATCATAGATAACTTTGAAAATCAAGTAAATGATTTGAAATTGGATGTGGAATGCATTAGGGAAATTTTTGTTTTGTTTTTAAGGTTTATCCTTTTAATTCGTGAAAAAGGCTTATAGGTCATAGCCAAAATTTTATAGACTTTGCTCTTTGTATGCTTTGCTTCAATTTTATCTCTTCCTTATACACATGTTCTTTAGAAGTTGCCTTGCTGTCAGGGTGGAAAAAGAAAAATTAACAGTTTGGAGGGGAAAAAATGAAATAGTAATGGAGATATTTATTTAACGAATCCTCTCTGGGCAGATATTTATTGAATGTCAATTTACATGCCAGCTAGTTTTCTAGATACCGGGGATCCAAAAGAAAGTAGAACAAGACAAAGCTGCTAAAGAGATAGCAGTACAGAATTAAAATCTACATGACTTAAGAAATTACTAAATGAAAATTTTGTATGTTTGTATTAAGCCTAGCTTTTAGAAACAGATATTGTTCAATACAACTGTATATTGGGTCATTGCACTTGTTTAAATAATATATACTTTTAAAGGTATTTTAAATACATATTTCAGTATATAACTTTTAAGATAAGGTAGTTTCTGTTATTCAATTTGTTTTGTTTTAAGCTTAATATTAATATTCTTACCACTTTGAGTAGAAATAAATGATTTGTTTCTTTCCATAGTGAGACCATTGGATCTTTCTTCTTCATCTTTTTAAAAAATATTATTATTTGTTCTAAATAGTTTTACATGAAAGCAGAATGCATTTCGATTCATTGAACACAAATGGAACACAACTTTCATTTCTCTGGTTGTATAGGTCAAGTCCCACCATAGCAGTCATACACATACCTAGAGTAATGATGTCCATCTCATTCCATCATCTTTCCTGTCCCCAAACACCTTCCCCTTCCCTCCCTCCTCTTCTCCCAAACAAAGTTCCTCCATTCTCCCCACAATCCCTCCTCCCCCGACATGGATCAGCACCCACTTATCAGAAAGAACATTTGGCCTTTGGTTTTGGGGGATTGGCTTACTTTGCTTAGCATGATATTCTCCATCCCCATCCATTTACCTGCAAATGCCATAATTTTATTCTCTTTTAATGCTGAGTAGTATTGCATTGTGTATGTGTACCACAGTTTCTTTATTCATTCATCTGTTGAAGGGCGTCTAGGTTGGTTCCACAGTTTAGCTATTGTGAATTGAGCTGCTGTGGACATTGATGTAGCTGTGTCACTATAGTATGATGATTTTAAGTCCTTTGGATATAGACTGAGGAGTAGGATAGCTGTGTCAAATGGTGGTTCCATTCCAAGTTTTCTAAGGAATCTCCATACCGCTTTCCAGATTGGTTGCACCAATATGCAGGGCCACCAGCAATATATGAACGTACCTTTTTCTCCACATCCTCACCAATACTTATTATTGCTTGTATTCTTGATAATTACCATTCTGACTCAAGTGAGATGAAATCTTAGAGTAGTTTTGATTTGCATTTCTCTGATTACTAGAGAAGTTGAACATTTTTTCATATATTTTTTGATTGATTGTATATCTTCTTCTGAGAAGTGTCTGTTCAGTTCCTTAGCCCATTTATTGAAGGCGCCAAAAATATACATTAGCAAAAATATGGCCTCTTCAACAAATGGTGCTGGAAAAACTTGAAATCCGTATGCAACAAAATAAAATTAAACCACTCAAAGTGGATCAAGGACCTAGGAATTAGAACAGAGACCCTACACCTAATAGAAGAAAAAGTAGGCCCAAATCTTCATCATGTCGGATTAGGTCCTGACTTCCTTAACCAGACTCCTAAACCACAAGATGTAAAATCAAGAATTAATAAATGGGATGGACTCAAACTAAAAAGCTTCTTCTCAGCAAAGGAAACAATCAGTAACAGAGTAGGAGAACATCTTTATTACACATACATCAACTAGAGCACTAATCTCCAGGATATATAAAGAATTCAAGGACTGGGGATGTGGCTCAAGCGGTAGCGCCCTCGCCTGGCATGCGTGCGGCCCAGGTTCGATCCTCAGCACCACATACAAACAAAGATGTTGTGTCCGCCGAAAAACTAAAAAATAAATATTAAAAAATTCTCTCTCTCTTTAAAAAAAAAAAAGAATTCAAAAAGCTTGACACCAATAAAAATAAATACCCCAATCAATAAATGGACTTTCTTCTTATGCATTATAGGTGAAAATTGGGAATTCTGATACTAGGTCTCCTAGGGAAATTGTTGTCAGTTTTAGTCTAGTTTACTTAGTAATGAGTCTCTTCAAAAGTGAATTTTTTTTCATAGTTTGGATTTTAATTTATTGTAGGTGTTTTCTGTTTGGGGTGTTTTAGGTCACAGGAATAAGTAAATGATTTCAGCAACCTAGTACTGTTTAGTTGGTATATATTTTTCTTTGGTCCTCAAATAGGAACAAATTTTAAAAGTTGAATTAAACTTTAAATCAGGAGTTAATGCTAATTTGAAAAAGTTGGGTAAACTTAAAAGAGGATGAGGATATTATTGCTATAAAGAACAGTGTCCATTGATTTAATTCTGTGTTTTTGTTCTCTACAGAGAATGTAGCTGGTCACTACATTTCCCCCTTTCATGATATTCCTCTGAAGGTGGACTCTAAGAAAGAGGTATTATTTTAACTTGTTTTGGGGATGAAAATAGGTACTGCTGGTATTGCCATAAGATAATTTTTTTGAAAGCCCCTTGAAAAAAAAGAATGTGGTTGTTAATCAGGAGGAGAAACTGAGGAGTCATAACAGGATTGCAAGTCTCCTTCATGAATTAAAATTTGCATGAAAATAGTATTCTTCCAGAAAGGATTGGGAGGAAAGGATGTGAGTGGTTCATAAAACTTAGGCAATCTGGTAGGAAATAAGGATTAAAGGTAATAGCTTAGGAAATTAACAAGAGGCTTATAATTTTAGTAATAATAATATTGTTAAATTTTTGGATTATTTCAGTTTGCTAACCACTATATGAACATATGCTATTTTATTTAATCCTTGTGGGTTGCTCTTATTTTCTCCAAGACATTAAGGCTGCAGGCATTTTATCGACTTAATATCTCACAGCAGATAAGTGCCGGAGCCAAGTTTTAAAGTGGCATTTCTGACCACAGAGCCCATGCTCCTTGATGGTTCTAAATCAAGAACTAGAAAAGTAAACCAGGGGCTGAGGGAGGTGGCGATGGTAATGTTTGAATAGAACCTAGTCAGTTGACAATTGTATGGGTATAAAGGATATTTGTTGAGGAGGAATAGGAGGAACCTATTGTAGGGAGAATTGAGAAGGCCTCGAAAATATGCACTGGGGCATTTTGATACTAATACCTTTGGGGTATTAATCACCTTAGAGGCTGAACATCACACATGATACTGAGTTTGTGGAACACTGAAGTGGGGTTAGCAAAGAGTACCAAATTGTCATTAATAGTGGCAGTAGGGTCAGTGGTAGGATCTGTTGAGTTCTTGTGGTACTTGGCCAGGCACTGTGCACAGCATTATCTCAATCCTTTTGGAACTACTGTGATTCCCTTTATTTTGTTAATGATATTAAACACCTTACATGGTTAATATAGACAATTGTGGAGGTGGAGTTGAATTTAGGTGCTTTAATTCCAAGAACTGCCTCCCTTCTCTCATGCAATATCTTGTTTATTACTGTAAGTGTTTTTACAGGACAAGGGGTAACATAATCTGTAGAGATAAAGAAACCAGAGATGGCAGAAATAACTCAGTGTTTCTGTGTGTGTATGTGTATCCATGTGTTTTGTTTTGTTTTAGCCAGGGAACTATTAAACCTGAATTTTTCCTCTCTCCCCACACCTCTCTTTGCTTTGGCTAAAGCATTCATTCATTCATTTATTCATTCAATGAATAATCATCACATGTTTATTATGAGGCAGACATTATTTCAGGGACTACTTGTGCAGTGGAAGTGTTTAAGTGTCATTCACACTCAGTTGGAGGAGACAGACAAACACAAAATCAATCAGATAATGGTAAGTTCTAAAAGGGAAGTGTAGGACAAAGAGTTGACTAGTGGGTGATATTGTTGGGATATACCTTGGCAAATCTGTGTACCATATAATAACACCACAATAATGGGAAGTCATGTAGTAGGCAGGGATAGAATTAGAAGAAAGTGATATGGAAACATCTTGGTGGGCATAATATTCCAAAGAGGATGGATTTAGGTGAATGTGAGATTCAGGATTGGACAAAATTGAATAGGTTTCCCTAATTTTCAGCCAGTGAGGATTGGAATTTTTGTACCTTATACTTTGGGATGTACAGTTTTAGTAATAGAAATAATGTTTCAGGGCTGACCTGGAGTAATTATTTTTCTGTTTGGTTTCCTCATTAGTAGTCGTTTTGGTGTGTAAATGTTACGTATACTGGGTGAGCGTCTGTGAGTGGCATGATTTTCCTTCCCAATACACCACGTAGTCTGGTTTAATTTAAAAATGCTTAGTGGAGGCGTAATAATCACACCTTGGTAGAATTCACAGGCAGGAGGTGCAGCGAGTACTTTCATGGCTTGTTAGTCATGCTCCCTGGAGTTTCATTTCAATAATGAAATGACTGTTTTAAGCGTAATCACTGGAAATTGCCAGTCTTTCCTTTAAGACTGAACAGAGCCTTTGCTTATTTTATAAAACCTTGGAAAATATACTTGAAATAGATTCAGCTTTTCTGATAATTTATTTTATAAAACACATCTATGCTGTGTTCACTGGAGATGCTAATACTGAAGGAAAGACTATGTGGGCATTTGGTAGGTTCTCTGTTGAGTCAGATTTCTGGACAGCCTCTGTAATAGAATGGATATACAACAAGCATACTTCTATTGTTGTGCAGTGCATCTGTATTTTGTGAAATATTATAATCATAAATACTATCTTTTCTTTTATAGGAAAATGGCATTCCTACAAAGAAAGCACGAAATGATGAATCTGAGGTATATCTAAAAGTTTTTATTTCTGAGAATCACTTTTTTATTAAAAAAGTGATTAAAGGCCTTGATGATCATTTAGATTTGTGAAAGTACGTCTAAATTTTTTCCCTGCAAGACTTTCATATGCATGGGTTTTTTTTCCTAATCTCTCTTTAAGGCAGCTAGGACAGAAAGCACCATTTAATATTGTTTATTGTGGTTAAATATTTATAATATAAAATTTGCCATTTTAATCTTTTAAAAGTGTATAGTTGATTGGCATGAAATACTTCTACAATGTTGTGCAATCATCACTACCATGTATTTATCCCAAAGTGTTAACTCTAGACCCATCAAGCAGTGGGTTCCAACTTCTCCCCTAGCCCCTTGTAGCTACTCCTGTCTCTGAATTTGACTTTTCTAGATACCTTATTACTATTTCATTTTTTATTTTTACTTATTTTTAATTTTTTTGTAGTTGTAGATGAACAGAATGCTTTTATTTTGTTTATTTTTATGTGATGCTGAGGATTGAACCCAGTGCCTCACACATGGTAGGCAAGTGCTCTGCCTCTGAGCCACAGCCCCAGATCACCATTTCATTTTTTAAGTGAAAAAAACTAGAGAATCAAAGCATGAACCCAGATTTTAGTAGCAGATTATCACAGTAGATAACCTAAAGTAAATGTATGTCATGAAAATTGTTCTGTTAATCTGTTAAAAATTATAATAGAGAAGATAGTTGGAGAGCAAGGTTTCAGAATTGAGAAACGTGTCTTTTTGGAATACAGGAGAAGAAAAAGTTACATCAACTATATGCCAAAATAAGTATATTCCAAATAGATCTTTCAACTGTGTGACTGTCAAAACTTTTATAGTTATTCACATAGGACCAGATCATTTGATTGACATCTTTCCCCATCTCCTACTCTGGGTGCCCTTTTATTGTGCTGATGCCAGTCAGCTTTTCTTACCACGCTTTACTTTTATGGCCTTATCTCCATCTATTCTCTATCCTTACTGAAACTTTTGACTCTAGTGTTTCTACACTGGAACCACTTAGAGCACTTATTAGAAATTCACATGGAGGCCCCATCCCATAGCTGCTAAATCAGAATCACTACTTTGTGAGCCCTGGATGAACTACATGCTTAGCAAGTATTTAATGTATATCCTAAACATGAAATTCGAGAACTACTGCCCCAAATGTTGGGCAAACAGACCCTCAGGGACTTGAGACCTTATAGTTCCTAGCAACTTGTATATCAACCTGAAACAGTGATTTCAGTGGCAAAAAAATATATTTTGTGTTCAGACAATCAAATTAAAAATTCTTACACTGCAGTTTCTATGTTGGAGACCATCCAATACATGTTTATTTGAAAGACAGAAGAAGGAAGGCTGATTCTCTCTTGCCCCTCCTGGCTTTTCCCAAAATACAGAAAATGTAGTGACTCTCTTTTCATATTATTAGTTTTTCTTTTTTATTTCTGCAACAAAAATACAAGGAAAAAAAAAAATGGAGGAAAAGAAAAGGGCTGGCTGAAGGAGAAGTTCAATGGCCCTGCCATATGCACAACTTTCTGATTTGAGCTCCTTTTATCTTTTTGGTTTTCTAATAAATTCTGGCAGGCCATTGTCAGTTTATAATTAACACTAATCTTAGGAAAACCAGACTAACATTGACTTTAAAAAATTACATTTTAGCTGTAGAGAAGAAAGGCAGGCTAGGAATAAGCCCGAAATGATCAGGAGCAAATGATGAAGGAGAGTGTGGCTTTTGGGGTTAAAATTCAAACCTATTCTTCATCTATTGTTCTTTTGGCCTAATTCAAGTCTGTGAGTGGTTTGGTAGGTGTCATTGTGTGAAAAGATTGTCACTAGCATGGTCTCCTCTGTCATCTCTGAGTACTCATCCACATGCATTTGTCCTCTTATAGCTAGGCTTTCAAGGATGAATAAATTATGTGAACATCTGCCATTTACTTTGGTTCTTCTTTTTAACAGCTTCTTCAGACATATTTAAACAGGTGCAGGGGTACCTCATGAAAGAGCATAGAAAATGAAACATAACAGCAGGACTGTGTTATGTACCGTTGCTAGGATAGGTATGAGCCTTACTTCTGAGGAGCACTGTTGAGAATTCATTTTCAGCTTTGTTTACTTCCTTAATGGGTTTGCAGTTTTGCCATTTGTAATATTTAGTCTTCTCTAGAAAAACTTGATAAAACCAACATTACTTTTGTGCCTTAATGTATTTTTATATTTAATTGTAAAAAATGGCATTCTTTGAATTAATAGCTTTTGTGTTTCACTAAGAAACCCCCAAGAACTTGTTTAGCAGTGCTTTAAGCCAACTCTGGCTGCATATTAAAATAGCTTGGAAAGATTTTAAAAATAAGCAGTGTCCTGGCTCCACCCCAGCTCAGTGGAATTCAAATAGGTGGGCTGTGGGGATCTAGGCATTCATTTTATTTTTTCCTAATTCTTTCAAGCTCACCAGATAATTTTGATGTGTGGCATGATTAAGTATATTAAATTACTCAAATGTTCACTGGTTTTTTGGTTTATTTCTATCTGTTGTGAACTAATGATTTTTTTTTTAAAAAAAGTACAATCCAAATAAGTAATTAGAACAAGGTAATTCAAGTTGTAATTTTTTTTATTTGTTCTTTTTGGATACACATGACAGTAGAGTATAGTTTGACATATTATGCATACCTGGAATATAACTTATTCTAATTAGGATTCTATTCTTGTGGTTGGACATGATGTGGAATTTCACATATATGAACATAGGAAAGTTATATCTGATTCGTTATACTGTCTTTCCTGTTCCCATTCTCTTCCCTTCATTCCCCTTTTTCTAATCCAAAGTACTTCTGTTCTTCTTTTACCTTCCCTCCCTTGTTGTGGTTAGCATCCACATATCAGAGAGAACATTTGGACTTTGGTTCTTAGGGGTTGGCGTATTTCATTTAGCATGATAGTCTTCAGTTCCATCCATTTATCGGCAAATGCCATAATTTCATTCTTTTTTATGGCTGAGTAATATTCCAGTGTGCATGTGTGACTTTTTTTTTTTTATCCATTCACCTGTTGAAGCGTACCTAGGTTGGTTCTGTAGCTTAGCTATTGTGAAATAAGTTACTATAAACATTAATGTGACTGCATATGCTGATTTTAAGTCCTTTGGATATATGTTGAGCAGTGGGATAACTGAGGCAAATGGTGGTTCCATTCCAAGTTTTCTGAGAAATCTCCATACTGCTTTCCAGAGTGGTTGCACCAATTTGCAGTCCCAACCAGCAATGTGTGAATGAACGTTTTCCCCCTCATCCGCGCCAACATTTATTGTCATCAAGTTCTAATTTGGGATGATTAGATTCAACAGACATAAAAGTTACTATCAATTTTTAAATGAGCCAAATACCAACCTGTTTGCAGACTGGCCCTGATGCCGGGCCACACTTGGAGCAATGCTGTTTTAAACCATTGCTTCTTCCTGATCACTCATTGGTTACAGATATAAAAAGGCAGGCAAATCACCTTATGGCTTTCTCTTTGTAAGGCAAGTTGTGGGAAATTGTTTTTATTCCCCATTCTCCTTGGTTTAAGAATTCTACAAAGTTCAGTTGTAAGAAAAGAAGACATAGTTCTTTTGTGATTTTAGCGAGTCTGATATTGTTAGCTAAAACTGCTAAGGTTAGGAAGACATATCTAACTCTTTGTGAACTTTGTAACTACCTATCCTGACATCCTTAATTTTATATTATGATTGTAACTTGGCATAAATATTCTTTTATAATATTCAAATATTTAACTTAATAATTTTCTGTGGACTTTCTTTTAAATGATGTAATTGATCTTCTTTCCAGCTTCATGCTGACTGGGACAGAGATGAGAGGTGTGTGAGGCTGAATGTGTGTATGAGGGACCCAGTCTCTCACTCCATTTTAGCTGGAGAATGAAAATCAGAGCACATTTCTTGACTTCATTCTAGTTCTGCCACTACATTGTAAAGGTACTTTTGTGTAGTAACCTCTAACACTGCAGTAGGGGTCAGATGACATATACAGGCTTTCATTCTACTGTTTGTGTTAGACAGCTTCTCCCATTTTTAGAAAAAAATTAAGGCATGAGTAGACAAATGATGCAGACACTGAGCATTTTTTGTGAGATCAAAACCTAAAGCATCTTTTTAAAGTCTCTACTGATTTTCATTTAGCAAAAGTTTCTCCAAGTGAAAAAATAAGAGATCTGTAAAACTTTTTATGTTCTGCTTATCTTTCTCTCTCTCTTTTTTTTAACCACAGAATTTGTTTAATATGGTTGTAGAAATACCTCGGTGGACAAACGCTAAAATGGAGGTATGGATGTATTCTGTTAAGGAAAATTGAAATGCTAACTTAACGGTGATCTACATTGTTTTTAACTACTTGGCATAATACTTTGAATTAGATGATTGACAGACTTCTTTATAATGAACACAATTAAAAATATTGTTATGCACTTAGACTTAAATTTAAAAAAGGAAAAGTATTCAAAGCTGAGAATACACTTTAGATAGAATGTATTTAAAATTTTTTAATTTTGTCTGTGTACTTTGTTATATGTATACTTTTCATCGCCTTTTCTTTGACAAGATGGCTGATCCTTCCTACATTTTCAAGGTTTCCTTAAATAGATTTTGAGATGTATTCAGTTCATAGACACAAGTGAAACATTTATTTAAGGTTAATGATAGTTTTAATTTCTGAGGATTTAATTCTCCTAGATTTTTACCATGCCTGTAATGAATGTGTTTTCCTGACTAACTTATTAACACTATCTAATAGCCTTTGTTGTTTACACAGTGAGTTTTTAAAAAAATTATTTTAAATTTCCAATGACTCCAGGAGGCTGAAGCAGGAGGATCACAGGTTCAAAACCAGCTTCAGCAACTGAGTGAGGCCCTGTCTCAAAAAAATAAAAAATAAAAAGGGTTGGAGATACGGTTCAGTGATAAAGCACCTCCCTGGGACCAATCCTGATACTACCCAAAAAAAAAAAAAAAATTAATTTTAATCTTTTCCATGAGACATGAATCTATCAAGAATAGTTTTTTTCAGTGTTTTATGTTCTTTGTTCAGTTAGATAAGATTTAATTTGTGACCCTTAGATTGTTTAGTTAATTAAGTCTTCAATAACTAGGGATGTGATGGCAAGTATAATTTTCTGAATCTGTATTCAGAAAATTATTATTAATTTTTGTTAACATTTTAATAGAAGGGAAAGGTGTTCGATTCTTCTTTTTATATTGTTGTAAGTCTAATGTTTCATCATTCTTGCTATACTTCACTTCAAACATAGGAGCAAGGGTGTGTGAGATTCTACCTATGTTAAATAGCGTTTCTTCATTCAAACATGGCTTTAACTTTTTTTTTTTAAAATAACAGATTTGGGTTTTTTGTTTTGTTTTTAAATGACAACATGAATGTGTTTGGTAGGAAAGTAACTTAGAAATGAAATAATTTGGTTAGATTGGGTTCTTTTAACCATTTTATAAAGTTGTATAGCAAATGAACAGTTTATATTTTATATATTTATGGAATACAAAGTGATATTGTGATTGACGAATACAATATGGAGAAACTAAATCAAACCAATCAGCATACGTACCACCTTAAATAACTATCATTTTTGTGCTGAAGGCATTTGAATTTACTTGGCAATTTTGAAATATATACAACACACTATTAACTATATTCACTATGCTTTGTAATAGGTCAAGAACAAAACAAAATCTTACTCCTCATTTCTGAGATTTCGTACCTTTTGACCATCATCTACCCAGAACCCTCACAGCCTAGTGTCTATAACCACCATTCCACTCTCTGCTTTTTTAAAATGTTATATTGCATTTATTTTTAATTGATACATAAAAGCATGAAAATTACACATATTAGTAGGGTACCATGTTATGTTTTCATACATCTGTACATTGTGTAATGTTTAAATCAGATTAAATATTTCTATCTCTGCAAACATGAGTCCTTTCTTTATAGTGAAAATTTTCAATATCCTTTGTTCTAGCTTTTGGAAATTTACAGTCCATTATTGTTTTCTGTTGTTGCCCTACTGTGCAATAGCACAGTAGCATTTCTTCTATCTAACTGTAACTTAGTACCAATGACTCCTCTCTCTCCACCCCCTGTACTTTCCCCAGCCTCTGGCAAGCACTGTTTGAGTCTCAAAATCTAGGAGATCATCTTTTTTAGATTTCCCATATGAGTGAAATCATGTGGTACTTGTCTTTCAGTGCCTGGCTTATTTCACTTAACATAATGGTCTCCAGTTCTATCCATGTGTTACAGATGGCAAGATTTCATTTTTTTTTTATAGTCGAATACTATTCTGTTGTGTATATATACAACATTTTCTTTATCCATTCATCAGTTGATGGAAACTTAGGTTGTTTACATCTCTTGGCTTTTGTGAATAATACTGCAATGAATATGGGCATGCAGATGTCTCTTCCATGTACCAATTTAGTTTCCTTTGGCTATATATTCAGGAGTTTATTGCTGGATCTTATGCTAGTTCTATTTTTAGTTTTTTGAGTAAGATCTCTACTTTTTTCTGTATTGTACTAAATTACATTTCCACCAATGGCACACTTGGGTTCCTTTTTTAAATATCCTCACTAGCATCTATTATCTGTAGTGTTTTTTAAAAAATATTTATTTTTTAGCTTTAGGTGGACACAATATCTTTATTTTATTTTTATGTGGTTCTGAGGATCGAACCCAGTGCCTCACGCATACCAGGCAAGCGAGCTACTACTTGAGCCATATCCCCAGCCCATCTGTAGTGTTTTTGATAATAGCCATTCTTACTGAGATGAGGCGATCTCTTTTTGTGGTTTTGATTTGGATTTCCCTGATGATTAGCATTGTTGAGCATTTTTTCATATACCTATTGGCCATTTGTATATCTTTTGAGAACTATTTAGGTCTTTTGTCCATTTTTTAGCTAGATTACTTTTTTAATTAATTAATTTCCTGTTATATGTTCTGGATAGCAACCCCTTTGCAGATGTGTCGTTTGCTAATATTTTCTCCCATTGTGTAGTTTGTCTTTTCACTCTTTTTATTATCTCTTTGCTGACCAACAGCTTCTAAGTTGGATGTAATTGCATTTGTCTATTTTTGCTTTTATTGCCTATGCTTTGAGAGTCAAGTCCAAAAACATCATTGCCTAGAATAGTGTGTAGTTCCCCCCTCCCTTTTTTTTTCTCTTTAATAGTATCTGGTCTGACATTTAAACATTTACCCTTTTTATGTTGCTTTTGTGTAACTATGAGGTATCAGGGTTCAGTTTCATTCTTGCAAATTGGATATGCAGTTTTCTCTAATAAAATTTATTGAAGAGACTGTCTTTGTAATGTTGTGTTTTATTGGCATCTTTGTTGAAAATCAATTGACCATATACATGTGGGTTCATTTCTGGGCTTTCTAATTTATTTTACTGATAATTGTTTCAGAATTTTTTTGTTAGTATCATGCTGCACTATTACTTTGACTTTGTGGTATAGCTTGAAATTAGGTAGTATCATGCATTCACTTTTGTTGTGTGTGTGTGTGAGTTATTTGCCTTGGCTACTCAGGGGTATTTTTATGGTTACTTATGAACTTTAGGATTTTCTTTTTTTATATTTCTCTTTAAAGCAATGACTTTGAAATTTTGATAAAGATTGAATTGAATCCAGTTTACATTATTTTGAATAGTGTGGATATTTTAGCAGTATTTTTTTTTTCAATTCATGAACATGGGATGCCTTTCCATTTACTTGTGTCCCCTTTGTTTTTTTCCAAAAGAGAAATCAAGAGAACAATCCCATTTACAATAATAACAACAACAAAACAAACAAAAAAACCTAAATTACTTAGGAATAAATTTCATCAAGGAAGCAATAGACCTATATGCTAGAAAGTATAAAATGTTGATAGCTTATAGAAGTGCTATTGATTTTTTGTGCAGGTTTTGTATCTTGTAACTTTATTACATTACTTTATTATTCTAACAGATTTTTGGTGGAATCTTTAGTCTTTTATACATATATGATTGTATTACCAGGAAACCGAAATAATTTCACTTCTTATTTGGATGCCTTTTATTTATTTCTCTTGCCTAATTGCTAGTGGAAGGACTTCCGATGTTTTGTTCAATAAAAGTGGCAAGAGTGAGTATTGTTGACTTATTTCAGATCATACAGGAGAGGCTTTCAGTCTGAGAATACAGTGAAAATCTTCGCAATAACTCAAGATTGTTGGTAATAAGAGGCCCAAGATTAGTAACAAAAAAGCAAGTTGATTAATCTTTATTTTCTTGCCATTTCAAAGATTTTATTATTTGTGTTAGAAATAATGGAATTTATGAATAATTTAATTCCTAAACATATAATTAGTTGTTTCCTTTCCAGACAGCTTTCTCTTACACAGTGCTGTAAATTAGTAATAAGAACTGGCTTTATTTTAAGTCACCTTTGATTATTAAGTTGGAATATGAAAATTTAGTTTGAAAAATGGCAGATTTAAGAAATACTGTTTGGGTATAGGAACAATCATTTCACATCCTCCTCTACCTTCTTTTCCCCTGTGATCTGCTTAGATAGCCACCCAGGAGCCATTGAATCCCATTAAGCAAGATGTAAAGGATGGCAAGCCACGCTTCACGGCAAATATCTTCCCTTACAAAGGTTATATATGGAATTATGGAGCCCTCCCTCAGGTAACATTTTTGTTATAATGGTAAAACTTTTCTGTCTTCTGAAAAATTGCCCTGTAAATCCTGTGAATTACTTGAATTTAAATTGGTTCTGACGACATGTCAGTTTGAGAGATTTGTAAATTTAAAAGTTTTTAATGTGGAGTTTTATTGTATCAGTAAATTTTGTTTCAAACTATATATATGTCTATATTCAAGTTTTTAGAGTACAAGGCATATAGAATGCTCAAATTTGATATTTTGAGCATACTTCTTTTTCTGGGCTTGGCTATTGTCAGTGAAAAAATTTTAAGCAAGGCTTTATCTGTAGTCCTTCCTTTAATTGTGCTTTTGTACACATTCATATCTGATATGATGAATTTTATGTTTTTAAATACAAATCTTTTAGATTTTAAACTTTTTTCAGAACTCATTATAAACAGATGATTTGTATTAGTCACTGTTTTGCATTTACAATTTCCTTGTGAAAACAATGAAAATGGGGACTAATATTGATGGAGGATTTTTCTTATTGTTTTTAATCCTTTCTTGCCCGTGTGTCCTCATTCTTATTAAGCAGCAACTCTTCCAGATTATTTAGTGAGTAGAACTCAATGTGCTGGGTCCAAAGTCTAGATTGTGAAGAAATAAAGAAGCATTTGCTTTTATGTTTATAGAACCCTTTTGATCATCTGTATGGAGATTTAATTTTTATGTTTTTATTATTTATAATATAATATTATATTATAATATTAATATAATATTATATTAATATTATACATTAAATCCAAAGATGCTACTGGGGAAATATATGAGAAGGGGATGGGGGTTCAGGCTTAATCTATCCTGGAAAACAGCTGCCAGTGTAGAACAAACATTCACAGGGAAAGAAAAAAGAATTGTTCTCTTTAAGAGCCGCCGGCCTCTGATGCAGTCGGACCACCCACTTGGTTAATTTTTTGGCTGAAGGGGAGCTCCTGAAATGATGTGCTAAGAATGAGAAAGTCGTATGGGGTGAAGGTGGGAGTTCATAACCCACTTGAATCAAAGTGTGGAATATGATATGTCAAGAAATTTGTAATGTTTTGAACAACCCACAATAAAAAATTAAAAAAAAAAAAAAAAAAAAAGAATGAGAAAGTCCATGGAAACCATGAAAGCAGGTTTTTTGACTTGCCAGGTGCATAAACAGACATTCTGTTTAACCCAACAGTTCAAGGTTAAACAAATCTGTAAAGCCTAGCGGGTACTGAGGGAGAGAGCGTATGGATGAGGGGATGGCCAAAGAAGCCACTGAATCAGAGATAGCATAAACAGTCATATAAAGTAGAGTAGTTGAGGGAAAACTAAAATTTATGTATTTGTTCATGTCTTTAAACATGTGTTAAGGATTTACATGCTCCGCAGTATATCAGATGTTGGGTATTCAGACAGATATGCAATCAAGGCAGCGTAGTAATTGGCTAACTGTGAAAGTGGGAATCATTAGTGACATAACTTTGGGTAGGATGCTTTGTGTTCTGTGTCTCACTTTCTTCTGTAAACTGGAGAATGTAAAATGCTTATTGCCCATAGTTGTGTTGAGGTGAAATAAGTTTTTTATATTAGAATCCTGTGTAATGGATGCTAATCAGTTATAATTACTATTATTATTATTATGACCAGTACTTTTATTATCATCTGGTCCTTTTTCTGAACCTATTTACAGTATGAATAGGATGATTCCCAGCTAAGTCAGTAGTTACGATGTAGCATAATAGGTGCGACTAACACTAATTCTATTATGGGACTAACACTAATTCTATTATTTTATGATGGAAAAAATAATAAAGCAGATCTACTGACAGCAGGGAAGGAGTGAGGCATGAAGGCAAAAACAAAAGAAGCTTACATACTTTTATGTTTAAAGTCATGTTAAAGTTTTTGTGTTCCTCTACGTTTGAATTTTCAAGATGCTCTTTTCTGTTGTGATATTAGACTGTTAGATGCAGTAGTTCTTCTCTTAATACAAGATCTAAGGACACGAGTAGCCTGAACATTGAGAGCAAAAGCAGTCCAATAAGAAACAGCAATTGTAAGGGCTGAGGTAGGAGGAGGACAGTATGGCTAGTACGGAAGTGAAGGAGAGGAAGTAGACCTGCATTCTCTCTGCCATTTTTAACCAGAGATCAAATTGATCTTGCAATGTGTGTATGTGCTCGCGTGCGCATGCACATGCTCCTGCATGTGCATGAACACTGTAGACGGCATGTGTTCATTATCTATCAAGCAAAAAATGACTAAATTCAATATTTTTTCCCACAGTCGAAGTCATGCATATTGGTTAAGTGAAAGGATAATATAAGATAAAAGCCAGCCCCTAGTCCCGTTTACCTTTTTGATGTTGTCTGTCTGCCCTCCTCCCTCTCCTCTTCCTGTCTTTCCCTCACTCCCTGCTGGCACTCTGATGTACAGGCGCACTCCCTCCTCAAGCCTTCCCAGCTACTGTGTCCTCTCTTTGCAACATTTTCTCAGATATGCATATGCATATACCTCCTGAAATGTTTGCACAAGTCACCTTCTTCATAACTTGGCCACCTGAACTCATTCTTGCTTCTATATTTTTTCCTCCTTTTCATAACATCTACCAAAATGTAACCTGCTATATAATTTCATTATTTATTATGTTTATTGTCAATTCCTTCTAGCCAGAATGAAGATTTCACAAGAACAGGGATTCTGTCAGATATGTTGATGGATAAATTTCAACTGCCCTGCTTAATGCCTGGTACTGAGTTGATGATCAATAAATATTTGTGAAATTAATATTTGTGATAATAATTAATTAATGCATTGTATGTGTTTAGTTTCATAGGCATATATAACTATTGGATTTTGTTCTTTCTTTCTGATTTGCCTTGTAACAGCAGGAAATTTGTCAAGAGCAGTTACCAAGCCAACTGCTTGGAAGAATTTAAACAACAAAATACTGTTTAACAGGCTTGTGATTCATCAGTACGCTGTCATTTCAGAACTTCAGCCATTTAGATTCTTAACCTTAGTAATTCTCCCATATAGTGCCTTCCTTAGAGTCTGAGTTTTCTTTTTTTTTCCTTCCTCCAATTTATTTATAGTACCCAGTTATAATTATTCCAGTGTTATATCTCTCTGAGTGAATATTTAGAATATTTGTCTAGATAATATTATTAAAGGATTAAACTTACTTTAAAGTAAAGATTTCTTCAGTCAATATAATTATTATAGGTTTATTATTATAAATTTGATTTATTGACCCCCCTCCCAATATTATACAGTATAATTTATCAGTTTTAGAGCCCGAGACAATTGACTAAATCTCTTTAGGCCTGTTTGTCTGTATGATCATGCCACTATACCACAAGGATACTGTAACAAACCAGTAGATCAAAGAGAATTTTTAGCTCCATAGCAAGTTCTCAATATTAGCTCAATGATGCAATTGTTGCTGCTAATGGAAAAGGGACTGTTAAAGACTCTTACTCTAGTTTGAAGCTGGAAAAGAGCACGTAAGTGGTTGAGTAGCTTTTATTTCCTTGAACTTCATGATAGGAATCCTGATTAATAAGGAAGGAATTCTCAAGACCCACCTAAATATACAGCTTTGTGTAGTTCAGTGATTTTTCATAGAGATCTAAGGACCCAAGCACAGTGATTAAAACATACCAGATAATATTTATAGATTATAAGATCAGGGTCTCAAGACACTTGCATGAGGATAAATAAGGTTTGTTTTAAGCTAGATCAATAACATTTATTCCAATTTATTCATTTTCATATGGTCATGCTTTGTGTATCATTTTATTTTCCCATCAATAGGTTGTTTATAGCTTTTTGTTATGCCTTTCTTGGGCCCTTTTTTAATATTTTTCTGTATCCATAGAATGTATTTCTAGGCATATACTTATGAATCAAATTGTGAGTTATATACCTCGATTACTTACCAAATTGTTTACAAAAGAAGTTGTAGGGGCTGTGGCTGTGGCTCAGTGGTAGAGCGCTTGCCTGGCATACTTGAGGCACTGGGTTTTATTCTCAGCACCGCATAAAAATAAAATAAAGGTATTGTGTTCATCGAAAACTAAAAGTATATACATATTTAAAAAAAAGAAGTAGCAAATTATGCAATGTGCATATATGAGTATATCACAGTGAACTCCACTTTTGTGTATATAATGCACTAATTTAAAAAATGAGTAAACAGAAGAAGGAGCAGTAGAGAAAAAGGATCAGGAGGACAGAGGAGGGGTGGAAAAGGAACATTCTGGGGGTTAGAATGGAGCAAATTATGCATGTATGAATATGTCAGAATGAATCCCATTATTATGTATAACTATGGTGAACTAATAGAAATATTAAAAAAAAAAAAAGTAGCAGTTTCCACTCCTACCTGCAATACAGAAATCTTTAGTAGTAATGCAGTGGAAAATAAAAGAAAGAGTTGACCACAGGCATACAGAAGGACTGATGAGAGCAGCCACCCATGAGACTGTGAGTTTCCCTAGGAGGACTTAGCCACTGGAAGGAGGAACAAAAAAGAAAAGGTACCAGTTGTTACCAGTTTCATGTGCCCTATATCCTAACTAGTATTTAGTATTATCAGATTTTACTATATGTTTGAAATCATGTTGCATTGTGATTTTGATTTATATTTCTTTGGTCATTGTCTTTTAGTAAATTTACAAGTCATTTATATTTCTTTTTCTCTGAATTACCTGTTCATGTCTTTGGACAATTTTGGTTGGGTTACCCTTCTTATTTAGATGTTCAAGTCATTTTTTAAATTCTGAATACTAAATGTTATCAGTTTTATTAATAAATATTGAGATTTTGAACTTTCTCTTGACATTTCTTCTCAAGCTTAACTGTGCTTGTCCAGTTGTTTCTCTGCCTAGTTATGCACCTAAAACTCCACAAGAGGGCATGCTCAAAGTTTGGTCAAGATTTCTTCTGAAGAAATTATATTTTCAAGTAAAATTGAGGCCATTTAATGTATATCTTTGGCAATAAATCTAAAACCTTGGGCTGGGGATATAGCTCAGTTGGTAGAGTGCTTGCCTTGCACACATGAGGCCCTGCATGCGTTCAATCCCCAGCATCACACACATTAAAAAAAAAAAAAAAACACACACAACAACAACAAAAAACTCTAAAACTGTTAATAATAAATTATTAAAGGCAGAAGTGGAAATAAGAAGAATCAGTCTGGATATGTTTGCTGGTATGGAAAATTGTGAAGAAGTGGCCCTAAAGTCAACAACATTGTATAAGTTAAGAATTGTATACTTGTATACTTATTTTCTCAATAGCAGGAAATAAATTGGTAGATAATATTGAAAGTGGAGTTCTCAGGGGAATGCAGACCAACAATCAGGACCCCTGACCCAAACCAGATCCTATACAAGTTGTACGAAGACAATTTTTGTCTCCATATAAAGATGGCCTTTCTTAAAATTAACACTGATCAAAATGGGCTAAATTAGCTCATGAATTTGTAAACACCCTATTCACTGGTTGTGTTCATATAGATTATGCATGACTACTAACAATCACAGAGTTTTAAGGCTAGGGTATACCTTAAGATTTTCTTATTTGAGTCATTCTTTTTTTAGCTGAAGAAACTGAGATCTAGATGTCTTAGTCAAGGCAGTTTGTGGCTGAGGTAGGATTAAGATCTAGTTGTCCTAGCATATGGTGGTGTTCATTCTGTGAGAAGGAGTGAGGTCAAAAGGGGGTCCAAAGAGGTTCCCAATTAGAGAAAAGGAATGTCTCAGATATTTTCTGATTTTTTTATATAAGTTGTTGAATTTCAGTTATGCCTTGGTCCCATATTGCTTTCCCCAGCACATTAAATAGCGTTCATCAGCACAAAATACTATACCATGACACTATCCAGGGTAGGATGTCCTATTGACTGTGATCTATTCATTTCTATTTCTGGCTTGGAATGAGTTCTCAATAAATATCTTACTATTTGATTAGATGCCTGGAAATAGGAAAATAATAGCAGTAATGGGAAGATTAGGGGAAAAGAGAAGCTCCACAAAAATATACTTAGGAGATTCTCAAAATAAGAAAGGAGATTTGAAAGATGAGAACCACAAAATAGAATTGTTATTGTTATCAAAATTTGGATATCACAGATAATGAGTGAGAGTATGAATTCTAATTCCATTCTAATCTACCATTTTGAAGTTGTGTGAGCTTGGGCAAGCTGGAATGCTGTGTTTCACTTTGTTTATCTGAAAAATAGGATTAATGGTACATTCCTCACAAGTTGTGTGTGTGTGTGTGTCACTTAGAAAGTGTCTGTCACCTATAACCAGTCTGTAAGATTAGCACAGTTGAGGCAATGAAATCTTGTTGAACATGATTCTCTTTAAAATAAGATTGGGTCAGTTTATTCCTAGATGTACTATACTAAGTACTATAAGTAAAATATTGGAGTTTATCTAGGGTTGTAAGTCAGTGTCCAGTTTTAGTTATCTACATAAAATTAGAGAAATTAAACTTAGGTGTTCTGAAATCTAAGATAATATTGATAACAACCTTGAAATGACATAAATCTCTTCATCTCTTACAATGTAAATTGAAGACAAGTTTAGCAAACTCATATGGTTCCATTCAGAATCAAGTAATTATGAAAATTTGGGGAAGCAGTAGTGCCTAGGGGATATCTAAACTTGATAGCCAAGTTCTGTTATGCTATTTGTTTATTAAAATGCAACATGAGTTTTGTAGCCAACAGAATAAAATTTTGCCAGTAAACTGGAGAGTTGACATCTTTGCATACTTTTAGCAAGACCTTGAGATATAATGGCAAAAATAGAGGATTTCTTTATGTAATGGATAATGTCTTATTTTTTTCATTTGTGAAGGGAAAAGTGTGTTTTTGCTGGTGGAAGTCATTTGAAGAATAGGAAACTTATTTTTTAACACGGAAAGCTAGATCCCTATGCTGTTACCATGTCAGAGGAAGCAGTGAGTGACAGAAGCCACGATTGCAGCATCAGTGGAAACACAGAGACAAGGGCCTAGACAGTGAGAACATCCAAACCGAAACTCTGAGAGTGAATGTGAATTTAGTCACTGACTAAACTTGGAAGACAAGTGTGTCTGGAAATACCACCCACTTTCAGATGGATGAAAGACAGAAGAGAGGAAATACTATAAATCTGTTTTAATTATTATGATGCTTAGGGACGTACTGGCATGTTGGCCTTGAGTCTATGTAATTTCTGAGAATTTTTGCTTTGCATTATGACTGGCTGTAAAACTTCATGATCATTTGGAAAGATTAAGATACATTACAGTGAGTATTAACCTACATTTCTGCTTTTTTTTTAGACTTGGGAAGATCCCCATCAAAAAGATAAGAGCACAAACTGCTGTGGAGATAATGATCCTATTGATGTTTGTGAAATAGGCTCAAAGGTTTGTTTTATAGACTGTGTTAATTCTAACATGTGTTTTGTTTTATTCATGCCATAACATTTCATTTTAGCCTCTAGTTCTTCCATTCTGCAAAGTTTGAGCCTCTTGATTCCTCTGATCCTCAGTCTTTTCTGTCTTTACTTTCTTCTCCATAAACAGAAGAGAGTAATCTATAGCACACAGAATCCAGCACACTGCCTGATTTGGTAAATAACACAGCTAGGCTTATTCCCATACACATTGTCTATGGCTGCTTTTGCACCACAGGGACAGAGTTAAGGAATTGTAGCAGAGGTTTGCAAAGCCTGAAATATTTACCATTGACCCTTTACAGAACAAGTTTGCCAAGCTTTGTCTTGCTACCTGGCTATTAGCCAAACAGACTTTAATATTGATGAAAGACAACTGGTACCTTTTCTTTTTTGTTCCTCCTTCCAGTGGCTAAGTCCTCCTAGGGAAACTCACAGTCTCATGGGTGGCTGCTCTCATCAGTCCTTCTCTATGCCTGTGGTCAATTCTTTCTTTTATTTTCTACTGCATTTACTACTAAGATTTCTTGGTATATGCAGACACTTAGCTCTTCTTACTCTGTTCTCATTCCCAGCAGAACATCTCATCCTTTATCTTGTACAGTTTGTGGACACCGCAGATAACTCCCTTACTTTCCCCCCCAGACCTGAGCCTGCAAGTGTTCTTTACTCCCTCCTTCCACTTGTGCCCTAAATTCTGGCCATCCTCCATATTAAATGCTGATATTTTCATATCCTTTTGCTTTTCTGTATTTATTATTGGCTATTTCCCCTTTACACAAAGACTTGTGAAGAGTTTGCAACACTCATTTCCTTCTCCTACTTCCCTTATAATCTTGAACTCATTTCAAATTGTTTCTATATCCCACTTCCCTCCATGATTTCAATGAAACTGTTCCCACTAATGCTACTGAGAACTTTCTTTGAGTCAAATTCAACAGGCTCGTTTTATAGGCTCTGTTTAACTTGATTTGTTTTAGCATTTTATATTGTTAACTTCACCGTCTTTCTTGAGTTAAAGTCACTTCTGCTTTGATTATACCATAATAACTGGTACTGTATCTAATCATTCGGTTTCTTCTTCCTGTGCCTTAAATATTGGCTAGGCTGAGGGTATGCTCTTGTCTGACTCCTGTTCTTATGTAGGATCTCTCTTGGTGTGTCAGACCTTTGAATTCATGGTCGCGCTCTCAAGTTGTTAACTTCAGCTCAGATCTATGTGCTTAACTGCCTCTGTGTACACTTGGATGTCTCCCAGCCTTCTCCATCTCATCATGTTCTAAACTGTTTTCATTATTTTCCTTTCTCCGATTTACTCCTCTCAATATTTGAGTCTCAGAGAATGACATCTCTTCTCCTTCCTTTTCCATTTCCAGGTTCTTGAGGTAGAAACTAAAGGGTTTTCTAATATTTTCTCAGTCATTCTTTGCTTCTCTTTGTCCAGTTAATCATGAAATATTGATTCTGTTTCCAAAAGAGCTTTTAAATCTGATTCTTTCCATTCATATTGCAGCTAGCTTTGTCTTGTCCATTTTTGTATCTTATTTGACTTATTCCTGAAATTAACCACTTTCCTTGCTTAGTCCTATTTTTACAGCCATCACTGATTCCAGACTCTTATCCTGCTTTACTCTTTTAATACCTGTCCCCTACCTCTTTTTCTGGCTTCCTTTCTTGCCACTCCTTGTTTCCATACTGCCATTAGCTGTACTGGTCTTCTTTCAGTTCCTATTGTGCATCTGTTCTCTTGGGTCCAGGTCTTCATTACCTCTATGAAGAATGGAACATTTCTCCTCCCTTCACATTATTTACTTCCCTATTATTTTCACTTCTCTTCCAATCACTCATCTTTAGATCTCTGCTCAATTATCACTTCTTCTGGGAGGTTTGCCTTGGTGTTCCATAAACTGCTGTAATCACTGTTCGTGCTTCTGAAGTGCTAACCATGCTGTGTTGTCTAGGTGTCCTCTCTATAGACTGACTGCAAGCTTAGGGAGGACTTGACTCATCACTGTGTTTGTTACTAGTGTGGAGTGCTGTGCCTGGCACATAGCAGGTACTTAATTTAAAGAATGCCAAATAGGACCATTGTCTGTTGTGTTCTTTTAGTTTAGATTAAATCAACTGTTTTTGGAAACTCACACTAGCACATTGGATGAGGAAAACCTCTTGTTCTTTGTTTACTAATATTATTTTGTTGCTCTTCTCTGTTTTATTTTTCATCTTCTTCATTTTCTGTATTCCTCCTCCTCTTCATCCTCCTCTTAGTTTTTTTCTTCTTTTTTTCTCTTCCCATACTTCTGCCTCCTTTTCTTTTTCCTCTCTCTTTCCCTCTTTCTTGTCCCTGTTCCAACGTATATATCTGGTCTTATATAAAGATAAGTTAGAATTCATATATGCATGACTATAATTCCTCTCACTGTACAGCAGAAATATGACTGAGTAGTAAACTTTTTTCCCCAAACTTAAGCTATAGTTTTAGGAATTCCATTTTTTAAATATTTTTATTTCCAGAGGGTCAGCAAAGTATGTATAAAATAAGTAGATTAGAAGGAAGGAGGATAAAATATTTTAATGAGTACCTCTGACCCAGATTCACATCACATTCCCAGAATCTTATTTGATAATAATAACTAAATAACATTGCACTGATCAAAAGATGATATATTAAAAAACCTATTCTGAGGATCTAATCCTGGGGGCTGTTCAGTTTATACTTAGTACAAATTATTAACCCATTTTGTCCCATCATCCCAGATGTAAAATAACTGTAAAAACTTAAATCAAGCAACAAATGTACCACTTATGGTAATTTTTAATAATATTTGAATACTTTTTGTTTACACTGAGTTGAAAACTTGGGACTTAATGGGTTAAGTCAGACTAAACGTTATGCAAGGACTAAGTGTGAGTGAAAAGAATAAATAAAAGTGTCTTATTTTCACCCATGTAAAAATGTGTCACTGTATATCTAATTAATGAGATCATTATCCAGAAGAAATCATACAAAAACATTAAATCAGATCAGTTGGTTCAACTTAGTAACACTAATCTGTTACCAACAGAAAAAAGAAATAACTCTCAGAAAACTTGATACAAGTTTTTAAAATAAATGTGTTAAAGTCACTAACTATGCTGATAAAACTAATTATTTTAAGTATAAGTGATTTTTAATGCAGTATATATAATTACCACTGAAAGCATATTTTTACACTTTATAAATTTTGGTAGACAGTAGGTATGTATACATAATTATTGAAAAATATATTGACTAATTGTTGTTATGCTTTGTGTAGATGCAGTATTAATTATATATGATCAGAGGAGTATACTTCAGTGTAGACCAGAATATTGTGATTTACAAGGGAAATTATCATAAAAAAAGAGCAGGGGACGTATACTAGAATATAACATTATTAGAAGTCTTACAAAAGAGAAATGAATTCCTTGGCACTACAGTTGCCAGAAAGTAAAATATTTCCAGTATATTCTACAATTTATTGTTTTGTAGACCTGACTACGACTTAAATCAAATAAGTACTAAAATACTAGGGTGATGGTTGTTGTTGTTTTTGTTTTTTTCTTCTTCTGTAAGAACAAATTTCTTAGTTTTGTCTGGTTTTGTTTTTATATTTCACCTAGTTTTCTTCAACATTTTGGAATTTTTCCTTCAATATGCAATATATTAAAAATTATATTAATGTAAGTAAAACTAAGGACAAATCTTCCCTTGCAATCCTGCTACCATAATAAATTATGTTTTTTTCCTCGTTTCCTTCCTCCTGGGATAAACATAAATATTTTGTGTTTATTAGACATTTTTCCAGTGTATTTTTTGTTATAAAATTTATATACAGAAATTTTTATGAATGTAGCTTTTCTCTTTTAATTTTTTTTGGGATAACTAGAGGTATCTGATGGAATTTCTAAAACGATGCCCCAGTGATGTCTGTTCTAATCCCTGGAGTCTGTGCATGTAGTGAAATGTCACTCCCTGGATTATATTTATCAGAACAGTTTAGAATAGGGTAGTTATCCTGTATCATCCATGTAGGCTTATTGTAATTACATGAACCCTTAAAAACAAAGTTCTCTGGAAGTGGGCAGACCAGAAAGTTAGAGGTTTGAGTAAGTAGAGCACATCCTTTCTGTTAAAAGATGGCTGGAGAGCCGCCCCCTCCCCCTGCGGCGGCAAGGTAGACGGAACTGTGACCACCCACAGAACAGGCCCAGTGGCCTGCTGAGGGGCAGAGCCGCCCCCCACCCCCCGCGCCTGCCAGGTAGGCGGAACTGTGACCACCAACGGAAAAGGTCCAGTGGCCCGCGGAGGGGCAGAGCTGCCAACCACACCGGCAAGGTAGGCGGGCCTGCGACCCACCGGCAGAACAGGAGCAGCGGCCTGCTGAGAGGCAGAGCCCCCCCCCCCCGCGCCTGCAAGGTAGGCGGAACTGTGACCACCAACAGAACAGGCCACACCTGCAACCGACAAACAGAACAGGCCCACTGGCCTGCGGAAGGGTAGAGCCCCCCCCCCCCCCCCCCGCGCCAGCAAGGTAGGCAGACCTGCGACCCACTGGCAGAACAGCCCCAGAGGCCTGCATAGGGGCAGTGCCGCTGCCTGCGCCTGCAAAGTAGGCACAACTGCGACCACCGACAGAACAAGCCTAGCGGCCCGCAGAGGGACAGAGCCGCCGCCCGCGCCTGCAAGGTAGGCGGACCTGCTACCTACCGGCAGAGCAGGCCCAGCGGCCTGCCGGCGTGGTAGGCACATTGCCCCAATTGGAGGAGGGGCGAAGTCGCCACCCGCGCCTGCAAGGGAGACTTTGCAACTATACAAGACCAATATAAATATATAGGGGGAAAATTCAATAGCACAAAGTTTCACCAAGCAGAAAGAAACGCGAACAGTATGAAGAGACAAGGAAAGAAAGGACCACAAGCAATGCAGGTCAACTCAACGATAGAAGAGGT